TCTTTGTTTCTTTCTCTCTCTCTCTCTCTCTCTTCATCTTTGCCTGAGGTATCTAGTATCCCTCTTTGTTTCTTTCTCTCTCTCTCTCTCTCTCTCTTCATCTTTGCCTGAGGTATCTAGTATCCCTCTTGTTTTTTTTCTTCCTTTCCTCCTTCTAGTCCTTCCCTTCCTTCTTTCTTTTTTTCCCTCTTCATTATTTTATTTTCTTCCCTTTCTCTTCCTCTTTCTCTCCTTCCCTTCCTCCCTCCCTTCTTTTCACACGTAGCTATGAAATTTCTGTCAAGTACACTATAATGAGCAGGGCCACGGACACAGTACAAAGTGGGTAGGATACTGTCTCTTTACGCTATCAAATCCCAATCCTTTCCATCCAACTGGACACCATGGTCCCTCATGGCCAAAGTTGAGAATGAGGCCCACCACAACAACTGTTTTACTCTTCAGAGAAAAATAAACCCATGAGTCACTAATACTGAAAATATAGGTCTCATATGACTAAAAATATTTAGTGAAGCAATTTTTATAATTATAAAATCATAGATGCATTCTAAATTACCGACCACAGGATAATGTTTCAGTGAAATATCATATGACACATCTGTTATCTAATACTAAATAGCCATTAAAATGATAGCTGGGTGAAATGTTTTTATTAAGTAAAAGAGCAAGACAAAACATCATTTTTATATAATGTTGCCAAAGGAACATCCTCTGGTCCAAAAGTGGAAAAAAATATATTAAAATGCTAAAACGGGACTTTCAGTTTTTGGATTGTGATTGTGGAATTCTATGGAAATTTTTTCTCCTTTTTTTTTTTTAATAAAATCGCACACACCATTATGTGAGTTAAAATGTCAGAATGCCTTGAAATAGTAAAAGAAAAAACCCATTGCCATCACGTCAATTCTGACTCATAGCGACCCTATAGGACAGAGTAGAACTGTCCCATAGGGTTTCCAAGGAGTGGCTGGTGGATTCAAACTGCTGACCAGTTGGTTAGCAGCGAAGCTCTTAACCACTAGGCCACCAGGGCTCTGCACATTGATAAACTGGTGAAATAGACCCTGAGACACAGTATAAATGAAAAAAAAAATTTATTTTCCATTAAATTGTGCATGCATCTATTCATTTATGCGATCATTAATTCATTCCACAAATAGTTCCTGAGCACCTACCCATAAAAAACAAAACACATTGCCATCCAGTTGATTCCGACTCCTAGCGACTCTACAGGACAGAGCAGAACTGCCCTAGAGGGTTTCCAAGGAGGGGCCGTCTAATTGGCCAGACTCTGGGAATACCTCGTACCAGTTGCCATGGTGTCAATTTGACTCATGGCAATGCCATGTGAGTCAGAGTGTAACTGTGCTCCATAAGGTTTTTAATGGCTGATTTTTCAGAAGTAGATTGTCAGGACTTTCTTTCAAGGTACCTCCGGCTGGACTTGAACTGCCAACCTTTTGATTAGCAGCAGAATGTGTTAACTGTTTGCACCACCCAGAAACTCCTCGGAGAATACAAAGGTATAATGTTGCCCCTGGAATCTTCCCTATGCACCAAGGTGTACAAAACAGGATGAAGTCCCTGTGGCCCTTACAGACTAGTGAGGGAGAAAAACAGCCATAAACATGGGGAAGGTTCCAGGGGCAACATTTATCTCTTTTGTGAGCTTGGCAGATTTATTTAGCCCTCAAGCCTTAGGTTTCACATCTGAGCAATGGCAATAATAACAGTTAAAGGCACCTATCACAGAGTCTGACAAGGATTTAGTGCCAGACACAAGTTAGTCCCCCATTACTCGTTACCATCATCGTACTCAGAGTTGTTCAGATAGTACATGTGCCAGGTATGTGCCAAAGGGCTTCCCTGGATCATTTCATTATGCCGTCACACTCAGCGTCTAGCAGGGATGAACTTGCCATTGCCCACATTTTATAGACAAGCAAGTTAGACCTCAGGAAAGGTAAATAAGCCTGCTCAAGGTCATACAGCTAGTTAGCGCGGGAGCTTTGCTTCCATCCAGATGACTCTGGGGCCTGAGCTCCCGACTGCAGGGCTCGCTCCTGCCTTCCTTCATAACCCTGCCTTCTCTAGCTACTTTCAATATGACACTCATCACTCTAAACTTCATTGACTGAAACTCAATGACCTGCAGCAAACATTGTTCTCAGGAGCAATATTTGCACAATTTTCATATCTTAATGCAGCAACTTGAGCTTCCACAGAGATTTAAATCCCTAATGAAATTTTCTTGTCAGAATTCTTGCTGAAGGATCGTTTAATTTGCTGCTCATGATATCTTTGAAATGACTCTGTGCTCGGGAAATAAACACCCTTCCAACACCCCCCTCTACTTTTCCTTCTCTCTTACCCCCTCCGCCGTCTCCCCATCCCTTCTGCCCCCCCATCTGCTGAATGCACACTTCCAGTTAGCAAAGCCTCATTAGCAGGGAGTTGAAGTCTCTGCTGGTTTATTCTCCCCAAGGCTCTGCAGTGTTGATCAGAAATGCACACCTTTGTGAATATTTATAGAATATTATGAAAAATAAATAAAGCCACAAACTACATGTATTCGGGGAAATAAGGCAAGGCAGTCACCGCAGGAGGCTCAGTGCTGCTGTGACTGGTGTTTGCACCCTGGTCCCTGGCAGGCACCTCAGACCTGCTGTTCTAAAAACTCCTTTTTTTGTTTTCTCAGTAAACCTGTAGTTAATTCCACTCAGATAGATACACAGGAATGAAACTTGCAAAATGCTTAGGTGTCAGTTTTTGAAAACATATCTCTGCATGTCACTGTCGGGTTAGACTCAGCGCACTGTGAGTCTCCTTCAGATCAAGGACTGGTGCTTGAAGGAAGCAGTGAGAGGGTGAGGACTGGGCGTCGGTCAGCCCTGAGGAGGCCACCTTCTGTGGGGGAGCCAGGAACAGCTAACGCAGCATAACACCTGAAGGGGCGTGTCACCACCCCACTTCCTCTCTGCCAGCCCTCAGAACTGCTCCCTTGGCCCCACCAATGCCAGATCAACTAGGAGACCCC